CGCTCCCCACACCGGAGCTGGCACTATTCCGCCGACTTGACTTGACACACGACATACGACATATTATTTGGTAATTTTAAAAGCGTTAGGAAAAAAGCAGGCAATCTGTCATGTACTTGAAATTGCAATTCTAAAAACAACTAATACTATTTCTACTTACCGCATTGTCTTCGATACTCGCACACAACGAATGCTCTTTCTCTTGACCCTGTCAGCGCACCGCCAAATAATTTGCCTCCACCGATAACTTCTTCATCATACATACTGGCCAATCTCAGATGGGTAGTGACGCATCCAAAGATCTCGCTCTCTGAACTTGCGACGTGAGCAAACTTGTACCCGCCGCCAAACAAGTTGATTCGTTGTCTGCACACTTGGCCTGCTCCTGAGGGAAGCATCTTCTGGAGAGGAAACACGCTGATGTCGGAGCAGGTTTGTTGACATGTTGTCACCCCTGTTCACAGCAGAACCATACACAAGGTTCGTGAACGTTCACGCGCAAAAATAACCACCAAGACGCATAAAGCACTTTACTCGTGTGATGTTTCTAATGAATATATGACGTGCAGAGGGCATCCACTAGACGTAATTCGATTGTGCTAGCAATTCTACTAGTAAAATGACCAGTGCTCTGCAAAACCGACCTTAGGTGCTATTTTGGCGAAATTGAGTTTGTGCTGGATTGTTGACCCATGACCCTTTCCTCAACTTCTGGTGAAGTTTTAGGTGGATCTCATACATATTCAGTTAGGTACAATGACAATTTCTTTGCACTTTTCCTACAATATTTTAGGAAAAGTAGCAAAAATCCTGGATTTTATGCTACATTTTGGAGCCAATGCTGTGAGAATTCAAGCAGCATGATTGCAACCAAACGTTGCAGAATAAATCTGTATGTCATAATCTTCAAAAGGAAAGGTAGATGATGGCATTGAATCTTCCTGTTGTGGAGATAGACACATTCTATCTCTGTTCTGTGGATGGTGTTGCTCAGAATCTGCTGGAAGAGGTTTTTGGCTCTGTATGAGGATATGCCAGCCGGAGTGATTGGTACAGGCAAGTGCAAAGTATTGAAGAAGCTCGGATCAATGCCAGGTTAAAGGATATTGATAGTTTTATCTGGTACTGGTAGTAGAACATCTAGTTATGTCTACATCTGCCACACACATTGTTTCATAATCGGTGATATCATGGCAGTCTCTTTTCCAAATTTTGCCAAACGTACTGTATGCAGCTTTGCCACCAGGCTTTGTGAACGCCTGGTGAACAAGCTTCTTCGTAGTGACTAGTGATACTGGGCAAATACATGACTGTAGGTTGGTACTGGCTTGTTGTGCCCATGTGGATCTGCAGGTTAAAAGGGAGGCCCTGAGCTATAGCATAATGCTCTATAAAATGCTTCAGCTCCACAACATCTTCCACAGGCAGTGCATTCCAGAGTTCATTCAATTCCTGTGTTGGGCTGATTTCACTTGCACTGACAGCAGCCTGCACAGATTTCAGCACCCAGGGCTTGATCCTGGGCTGGAGGCATACACAAAGACTTCCTGACATGCATGTACATGACTTCCACACCAGCCACTGACTGTAGTCTTCAGTAGTTCAGAGTAGTATTGTTGAGCCCCATCGATCACATCGCCCAGCATGCTGGACGCGCTGGGTAGCCTCACCACGTCTTCTGAGCACGTCTAGCTTTCCGCCTGCACACAGCAGCGCTCTGACTTGGTCAGCAGGCGCGTGCACCGTATGAGTTTTTTGGTGTCTGGAAACCACCTTTTTTCGGGCAATCTTGCCAAAGGAAAAGCGTGCCTACTGGATTGGTTATCCTGCATAGATCGACGGGCAGTTTACAGTACAGTGACTATGTCCTTATTTCGAAGTAAGAGAGAGTTGCTTTGCATGCAGTCCAAAATACATTATTCTCTCTTTCTTCAGTGGAGAGTAGCGACAGAGAGATCGATCTTTAGCTCTGGTTCGCTCCTGGATTGGCGATGTCATGACGTTCAAGAAATCCGCCCTGTCTCGAAATTTGAGTCAAGCACGCGCGATGCAAGTCAGTTCAAGGATTTGATTGACGATATCTCCTTCGAAACTGTTGACTCAAATCAAGATCTCCACAGCCTTTCGTTCTCGCTCATGTGCGCAGCAGAGATGTTCGTCAAAAACGTTGTTGACTGGAAGACGTAAAAATGTGCGTCCATCATCCACTTGCGCTGCTTCAGAACGAAGCGCTGCTCCAGCCGCGACTCAAGGATGCGGAGCTTCGCTTTTCTTCCGCGAGCTTCCATCGAAGCAAGGCCCATAACTCTTTATTGAAATCATGTGGAACATTGCCTATACAATCATGCTGAAAACTTCGTCATAAGAAGAGAAAGAAAGATCCGTCGAATGTAAAAACAAGTTAAAAGCAGTGTTTTGATGAAACAAACATGCCTGCATGGAGTGGACTACAAGTAGTGAAGTACCATAGACATAGTGTTATACTAGTCTGTAGTGTAGCCTGGGCGGCTAGGCCTATCAAACTAATAATATATTACTTTTACGTGTTCAATATGACAAACATGTATGAGTACATTGACTTTTGCACCCTCTTTGCAAACACTTTTTGAAGTGCTGGTATGTAAAAGGTAATTCTACCCGTTTTATCCTGTTACCGGTTATGTACATGTACCTACATTTCCATGCAACATCGTCCCCTCCCTCCATTCCTCAGTATTCTTATTTCTGTCCTTTCTACCCCTGTACCTGGTTCCCTCTCATACGCGTTTGCGCCGGCATGATGTGATGAAAGCAGTCGGACGAGCCCCGCATCTCATCAGCACCACCAGTGTTCATTGGTGCCCTGTACCCCTGATCTTGAGTCCCCCCTCTCCCTCCTCCCTAGCCCTCGCCGTTATCTCCGACGCGATGTTTGGGGGATGCGCATGTGCACAAATACATAATTGTACAGTGGGTCTCCCGAAAAAACAATTACCAACTCTAGAAACCCCCCTTTCAAGACTCGGTGCATGCCACTGGTCAGGACATGCGCTGTGTGCGCTGTAAATGTAAAGCAAGGTTTCAAGTGTCAAGCTCTTGAAACAGCACCAGTGCGAAACAATTACAGCCCTTGTCTAACTTGTCGCGCGCCTCCTGGATTGTAGACAGTACTTGAACCGATTTTTCTTGGTCTGCACTCCGTTTATTGCCGGCATTGAGGGGCTGGGCTGGTGGCAAAACTGACGCCTGATCGAAGTTCTCCTCCGCATGGCCGTCCAGCTCGATCACTCATCAGCATTGCGTACTGCGATTCCACATTCGACTCTCCTCGGCACTGCTGTCATCAGAACTGCGATTGAACCAGGCCAAAAAATGACTATTCATCGTGAAGGAGTTCGGATGAAACCTCTGGAAGAAGCCCACAGCAATTATTTGAGCTAGCGACGGTCTTCTGCTTCGTTCCGCCATGACTCTCACCTTGTGATCTTCAAAAATCGACAGACCGTGACGTTTTGTTCTTTTTCTCGAAAAAATTAAGAAGCACCTAAGGTCGGTTTTCGCAGAGCGCGGGTCAATTATCGAAGGCCGAAAGATATTGGAGCTTCCCGGGTAAAATCAGGCTTTGCTTAGGTCACACACAGTTGGAGTCCTATGATCACACAATTGGGGTCCTATGATCACACAGCTGGGGTCACATAATCACACAGTTGGGGTCACATGATCACACACATTTGGGGTCACATGATCACCCATAGTTGGGGTCTAGGTATAGTAGGCAAAGCCTGACATGTGCAAATGGAGAGCAACAAGTAGACCTGGATGAACATTCTAGCCAGTGTCCCCCACTTGGTTCGGTTTCGGGACCGGTTTTCTTCATGGCCTTCACAAGTGATCTGCCAACTGCATGCACAAATGCCTACACAGAGAGCAGCCAGTTTGCAAATGACACTGCCATCAGTTCCACTCACGAGTAGTTTCTAGCCGCGGAAGAGCACCTACAGTCAGCCGTGACACTAGTATTATAATAATAATAATAATAATACTACTACTCCAGCACACATATAGCTCATATGACAACATCAAATGGGGGTCACGCATCTGTGGACAACGTCCAGCCAGTGCCTTCTGTCTGAGGCAAGTGAACAGTTGCTCCACTTCCAAAAGAGACATGGGCAGCAGATTCATCACCAACAGTGGCAGCGGCAGCAGCAACAGCAACAGTAGCAGCTCAAGGCGGAAGTCGCGAGCAGTTTTGCAGCTTACCCCGTTCACAGACGAAAAATCTTTCTATTCCGCGAGGCACGGAGTGTTTCCACCAAAAGGTGTCTAAGTTTAGCTTATACCAAGAAGGAATCCCACAGCCATCAGTTCTAGTCATAAGTCCAAAGTACTTTCGACGTTTACATTCTGTTACGGCATCATCGTAGCTCTTCCTGACCAAGGGGAACGGGCTGTATAGAGCTCTTGTCTTCTTGCAAGGCAGGTCCGCTGCAAACACAGGAACAGACAGAGACTTTTAAACGGGTAACTATTGCGACGTAAAACTGTTAATTTCGCGAGAAGCCCCCCGAATCGCATACTTTGAACAACGCAAACTCGCGCCATGTAAAGTTCAGTGCAAGGACTGACTCGACTGAGTAACGTTAGGACGACTCCGGCGCAAACATTAAACAGCGCAAACTAGTCTCAATTTCTAAAGCCCAAACTTTTATTGTCGTAAACGCTACCCGTTTTACAGTACCCGGCTGTAATGATGTACATAAGAAACCATGGCAACAGCGTGCAGAGCAATGTACAGAACAAATTCTTAAACATTTGCGCGGCTGCCTGAATTCTGTTAATCCAGAAACCTTTGCGATCCTGAACAGTTTCCCGATCTTTGCGATGGGTGTGAAATCGCGAAAGCCAGTGGACGCAAAACTCAAGACTGTAGACTCGACTCAATCATCAAATTGACTCCAATCGCAAATGCTTGCAGGCGCTAAGTCGTCTGTCTTTTGCAATTCGCGAAACTAAGATGGTCGCAAACGAGTCCGGGTTTACAGTATTGCACTTAGGCTTGTTAGTTAGTGTCTGGCCTAGTGCTGCCAAACTACAGTGTGACATTAGACAGGGTTGCAATGATGTACAGTGTGGCATTGGACAGGGTAGCAGTGATGTACAGTGTGGCATTGGACAGGGTAGCAATGATGTACAGTGTGGCATTGGACAGGGTAGCAATGATGTACAGTGTGGCATTGGACAGGGTAGCAATGATCTACAGTGTGGCATTGGACAGGGTAGCAATGATGTACAGTGTGGCATTGGACAGGGTAGCAATGATGTACAGTGTGGCATTGGACAGGGTAGCAATGATGTACAGTGTGGCATTGGACAGGGTAGCAATGATGTACAGTGTGACATTGGACAGGGTAGCAATGATGTACAGTGTGGCATTGGACAGAGTAGCAATGATGTACAGTGTGACATTGGACAGGGTAGCAATGATGTACAGTGTGGCATTGGACAGGGTAGCAATGATGTACAGTGCGGCATTGAAAAGGATAGCAATGAAAAGCACACTGCCCAAGGATGTTGTCCTTCGATCATTTTAGGCGAGTTTACAGTGGCCATGTGGAGCTGTAGCTATAGGACGATAGCAATTCATTAGCAATCTGGACACAGTGGAGATTGGATAGCAATCTGGACACAGTGAAGATTGGATAGCAATCTGGACACAGTGAAGATTGGATAGCAATCTGGACACAGTGGAGATTGGATAGCAATCTGGACACAGTGGAGATTGGATAGCAATCTGGACACAGTGAAGATTGGATAGAAATCTGGACACAGTGGAGATTGGATAGCAATCTGGACACAGTGAAGATTGGATAGCAATCTGGACACAGTGGAGATTGGATAGCAATCTGGACACAGTGAAGATTGGATAGCAATCTGGACACAGTGGAGATTGGATAGCAATCTGGACACAGTGGAGATTGGATACAACTGCGACACTCCTTAGGGTAAAATCAAAATGTCATTATTTTCGATCATCAAACTTGATTTGCCATAATATTTATATCAAAAAGCCAGAAATTGAGTGCAGATTTGCACGCTCATAATATTATGCGTATGGATTGCAGTTGTGCATGCACATGTACACGTATGGCCCATGCATGCATACATTCAGTTCAAGCCAAACGTCATGCATGGCAACTACACAGCTGCTCTGTGGCATCTGCATCATACTGCTGCTCACCAGTATGCAGTGTACGGATGGTAGGTCCTCGCACGAGACACAGCCTTCAGGGTTATGGCCGGAAGAGTTTTTTTTTTTTACTAAGGTGGCGCTCGCACTCTGCCGGTGGCACATTCCTTTTGAAAAGAGACGGTCAAAAAGAGAAGAAGAAGCGCGCCATTGTGTCGCTTTGGCGACAACCCTGAGCCACGTTCCATGCATGCCGGTCTGCCTTGTACGATGTATTTCGTATTCGGCAGGAGCAGCAGCTCGGAATGTAGCCGTTCCATCTCCGCCAGCAAATCCCGGTAGGTCCGATCTCGATGAAACGACTGCACAGACATACACGCAGACTCGTTCATCCAGCACAGTCCTTGATCCAGCTGAATTTCCGTTGCACAAGCGATCCCATATTATCAAGAAACCACTTTATAATTAGATAATGCCCACTCGCCTCTGGGTCATCCCTTGAATAATGATACTAAACAGACAGAAGTGTGAACACCGATCACAAACATTGGCTGCGGTTTCATTCTGTGGGACACTTACTGAACATTCTTCTGTATTCACAAACGACGTATTTCTTCTGCGTTGGAGGACTAGCTTGAACGCCATCGATCCAAACATTGCCTTCAATGGATTCTTTCTTGACTTGCTTGAGGTAGTTGGTAAGGCATTGCATTTCGACGGACAATTGGCTAACAATGCGGCCATCTGCAGCATACGGCTTTCCATTCTCGTCCGCAGAAAACCCAATTTGGCAATGTTCCTCCGCTCCGGGCAGCGTTTTGGTCTGAGGATTTTCTCGAATGGACAGATCGGAGTTGGTTTGTGCACACCAGAACCTAACTGCACAGGGAGGACAGTCAAACAGGGTGTGAGCACACAGAAAACGGGAATGACGGAACGAATGATGCATGCAGCAGTGCTTGTGATGGATAAAGCTGTATCAACCCTTGCATATTGGTACACAGAGCCCCCTCACCGCTTGCTGACTCCTAGCAGCACACCATCTGACTCTTTACGGGATTTAGACTGCATTCTGGACTCACGACTGCCTACAGTGACCGGACTGCCTACAGTGACCCGACTGCCTACAGTGACACGACTACCTACAGTGACACGACTGCCTACAGTGACCCGACTGCCTACAGAGACCCGACTGCCTTTAGTGACACGACTGCCTATAGTGACCCGACTGCCTACTGAGTCAAACATTATCATTATGCCTGCCTGTGTGTGACGTGTATATGCGCTTAGATTTGTAACATATGCACAAGTGAAATAGGAGAAGGACAAAATGTTACGAGTTATGACGAACTGTCCACCAACGTAACCAGATCTTATACAGTCAGCGATTGCGACAAAATGGCACAAAACTGGCTCACCATAATTGGCTCACCATCCGAGTTGAAATATGCACAAGTATTATACACACACACACACACATACACACACACACGCACACATACACACGTGCGTACACAAATACAACGGATGCTAGCTCAATGCAGTATGAACAGCCAACGGCCCACATTACTGATAAAGCGGTTGATTGATACAGCGGTTGCCTGGGTTACAGCGGTTGCCTGGGTTACAGCGGTTGCCTGGGTTACAGCGGTTGCCTGGGTTACTTACCATACTTAATGGGAACCCTGCACACAGGTATATAAGCTTTCTGTAGACCCTGCTGAGGTGCTTCAGGGATTGAGTCGTTATCATGGACTGACCACAGAACATTCATGGCCTGGAGGCGTGCAATTGCCCCGTAGAATGGCTGTAGGCAGTTATCGAGCCCACCTACTCCGCTGGTTACTAGTTCTCCATTCCAATACTTGCATTCCCTCCACGCATCGCCTAACAGCATCGGCTGAACATTGGGAAGTATAAGGCGAGTGTGTCTGCTGCAGTCTGTGGACACCAGAGGCGTATCTGTGAGACCAGGTCCACAAAAAAGCAAACCAAATGCAAACAGTTCTCATGTATAATGTTCTGGGTCCAGTGCATGTATGTACAGATCCCTGCACACATGCCTGACCCCCCCCCCCCCCCTATCCTCGTCCATTCTCACATTCATGTGTATGAGCTAATGTCCAAGCATGCACTTACCCAGGATATGCCCAGTTTCCCGAACACACACGCACCTACACGCCCATGCTCGAGGCCACTCAAAACCGTCACACACACACGGACACATGTACATGCACACCCACAGACAAGTACAAACACACACACACACACACACACACACACACACACACACACACACACACGTGAACGGCATGCACTTGTGTACGGTGCACACATAAGTGCCCACAAGAGATGTAGGGTGCTGATCTGTTAGAACTTAACGAAACTGAAAAGAGATTCAAATCATTGATTCCAATCCTGGACGAACCAACTCCCTTGAAGAGAATGGGGAGAGAAGGAGAGAAGGAGAGGGAGAGGGGAGGGAGAGGGAAGGGGGGTGGGGAGAGGTCATCTTAATTTTCCTACTCACCATAATTATTAATTTTAATGAGAAAATGACCTACAAGTTACTGGTAACTGATAGGTCCTTTTCTCGTGAAAAATAATTTAAAATACTGGCTCAACATCCGAGTTTTTATTACTCACCATAATCTCTGTACTTCTTGGGAATTTCGCACAAGACAAATTTCCTCTGTGCCTGCTCTGTCGCATTAGCCATAATATGGTAATTGCTGGCAATACTATCTATCTTAGGACCCAGGTCAAACCCTGCCCTGACATTTGTCTTCCAAAAGTCTACAGCCTGTGTGTTGGGCAAGTAGCCACCTCGGAATCTGCACTCGTTAACTGCCGTGGTCCAGTCCACCTTGTGCATGAAGGGAACGGATACTGTGGAGTTGAAGAGAGGTATGTCTACGGGAAGAAAGCTCTTTCTAGGAACTGAAAAGCAGAAGAGAAAGTGGCACAAATAGAGTCAGTTAAGGTGGCTGGGGCGGTACAACTTTTTTTGGGAAAATTTTGACTTCATTTTTGAGTTTATCCGCAAGGCAGAGATAAAATTTGAAAATGTTTTCTGGGGAACCTCTGGAGAAGAGCCTTCTCTAGCTTCCTATAGTTTTATTTTTACTTTTGGACAAAATTTGAAAACGTTGATAAAAGGTTCGTGTTATTTTTTCACGGACCTTTCATAAAACGGTTTCAAATTTTGTCCAAAGGTAAAATAAAACTAAAGGAGGCTAGAGAACGCACTTCTCCAGAGATTCACCAGAAAACATTTTCAAATTTCACCTCCACCTTGCCGATAAACTCAAAAATGCAGTCAAAATGTGATCAAAAATGACCCCTAAAAAGTTGTACCGCCCCAGCCACCTTAAGAATACGGGAACAATTCGGGGTGTGAAGGAAACATGGAAGTGGGTAGCCTCGAAATACCTGCCTTTTCAGGATTGCAAACCGTTTGAATATTTTCCTTTGACAGTTACAACCAGCTCTGTAGCACTGTGGAAAACAAGGCGTGTAGGATCCCATCAATGCAATGCTCTGAGGTAATGAAATGAATTTTGCAAGAGTGTAAAAAACAAGCTCATAATATTTTTTTTGTAAATTCTTGCGTATTCGAGATACTAGTGAAAGCTATTGTTTAGGAAACGTGATACCTTGTTCGTCATGTATAATTTGAAGGAAAAGCGCACAACACACTGAAGGCTCTATGTGCAGACGCTGTGCACCAACTGTGACATCAAGCATGTATTATATAAGGGACCAAATGCGTTGCTACAAGACACACGAAAACACCCCCTCTCTCTCTCCCTCACTCTCACTCACACACACACACACACACACACACACACACACACACACACGCACACACACACACACGCACCTTTCTCTCTCTCTCTCGCACACACACACGCACACACAGACACATAGACACACACACACAGACACACGCACACGCACACGCACACACACACACACACACACACACACACACACACACATAAACACGCCTGGAATCCAGGATTTCTCACCATGCTCGCCTGGGATCCAGCACACAACGTGTTTCGGTATGAAAAAGCGGTGCAGGTGAGCGTCTTGCAGCGCCGGCAGCTGTTCATATGTATGCCATTTAGTGGGGTCGGAAAGGGGCAGTAAGTTTTGTGTGTTCTGCAATTCCCGAAAACATCTTTCATTTACGGCAAGAGACTGTACAGGGGCACCTTTCCAGAGCTTGCATGCGTGCACGGCATCGAAATAATCCATTTTCTTGTCAGTGGGCACGAGCATTTTACCTCTGTCACCCTGACGCGGGCTGCATGTCCTTTCACTGACCGGCTGGTGAGAATCTGCACAATCACACACACACAGTGAGAAGCCAATCATGCCATCATGCCCGCTGCGTACAAACGTATACCGGTACATTTACCTGTCGAATAGTACTGTGTATATGTACAGACAGCACCTAGCACAGAAGCGGCAACATTTGACAAGATGCCAGAGAGTGAGACGTGTGCGAGTGCGAGCAGTAGTTTTGAAATGCCGCTCAAACCGGGTCACAGGGACCTGTACTGCGGCAATCACCAACTCCAGGTCCTGCCCCCCCCCCCTTCTCTTATCTCACCACCATCACAAAGAAGAGTGCATGTGTACACGCAAACGTACGTATGCACACACACACACACACACACACACACACACACACACACACACACACACACACACACACATACATGCGAGTGTGTGCATGGGTACAAAAGACTGTTGCCAATTGCGAGGGGCTGAGACCGAGAGCACTGAGTGCGCCATGCGGCACTAACTCTGCATTGCGCTGCACTAAAATGCTTTTGCCGCATACAGGCTGATCATTCACTTCCTCTGGGATATTCCTCATCTCTCCACTCTCCAGGCTTCTCAAATCATAGTGAAGTACTAGACAACCTATTACGTGCGTGTTGCTGTGAGTGCCTGGGTCAATCTCTCTCTCACCACAACCCACCAACCCGGAGAGCCTGGTTTACAACATTAGACGCATGGCACTCTGTCTAACCCTACCTGCCAATGCTAAGCAGAACACCCGTATTTCCGCGCATATAAATGCATGGCGCTATGTATCTATTATTGCACGATTAAAGAGGTCAATAATAGATTTATCACGACATAGCATACCTAAACTGTTTTTAGCTGTGTTTATAGGAAGAAAGGAATACTATTGTAATAGTACATAGTATGTACATATGCCGTTTACATTGGACATTACTTCTCTATAAACAGAAGTTTTCAGTTGTCACTTGTAGTATGTTCCCCAAGTTCTTTGACTGAGAATCTGACAGTTTGGGTTCAAATCCCAACATTTGGCTTCAGATTTTTCTTCTTTCAGTTCAGATTTTTTTCTAAGTTGAGGAAGAAGTTCTAAGTCCTCGGGGCTAAGGCCACACCAAGTTAAGGAGGCTCCCACCTAAAGAAGTAAAAATAAAAGGTCCATGGACACCCTGTTTTTTATGCATAGAATGGTGGAGTGATGTCTCTTCTTCAATTTGGTATAGTTTTAAGGTAGGGTCACCAGGCATATAAGAGGTATTCTGGTGTATTTAGTGAGTGTACAATTTCTTGATTTTCAGTAAAAATATGGTAAAAATATTTGGTTTTTGACCCAAAGAAGCCTCCTGGAGGGAGGATACTAAGCATTTTCTTCATCATATGTTTAAGAACCACATTTGGAGATATCTTGGCTACACAAGATAGATTGCGTCTTGGCTTTGCCCTTGGCGAGCCACTTTTTCGAAATTACGGGTACCGAAATTTCCATCGGGTGCTGAATTGTGAAATGGTTCAGCCTGCAACATTTTGTCCATGGACATATTGATTTTTGTGGCTTTCTGTGATCCTTGAGCCCCAAGGAAACCGATAATGGACAGTTTTGATGGTGTCACCAGGCACTTTAGGCCCCTACCAAACAATATAGGTATCAAAATATGGTATTTTTAGGACAATTCTGAAAATAGCTTTTTTAGAAAATCTGACCAGTCTTGCCTTCTTGACTAAATATCACTACCAATGACAGGTAGTATGGTAATATTATTTTAGAAGAAGTTATTTTCATGCTGCAATCTCCTTTGGACATACCAGACAGTCTGTGCTTGGAAAGGTACATGTATCATTACATGTACATGTATGTCATGTAGCCTTCAGTCCTAGCACATTGATATACGAGTAGTGTACATGTACATGTAAGGCAGCGAGGTTTCATAACAACCTCGACCATGAAACTGGCACATGAATAATGTGAAAGCAGGCATTCAAAATAAGGCACACTAAACACTCACACGCGTGCGCACGCACATAAACACCCACCCACATGCACGCACTCTCATGCACGCATCATTGTAACACTACTAGTCCATAGTAGGACTTAGTGTAAATAATAGCATGAAGACCAGCCACTGCACTGGGCATGCATTTGCTGGTTGTCACTTGCGTTGATAGCAGCAGACTCCAGAAAAACATCGCATGAAGGGCAATATGCATCTACACACGCTGGCGTGCACATATACGATATACATGTACATGTAGTGTACTGTCATGCTCTATCGGCAATTCTTTTTGTGTCTCAAATACGGTTCACAAATGCGCATTCACATGCAACTCCTGTCCTGTAAAGCCATTACCACACTGTCCTTGCGGACACCAGAGAGGAGAGGCATACAGAACCAGCACGGTGAGCCCCCCCCCCCCCTCCACACCTAGCTTTGCACACGCGCGCACACATGCACGTGCATACACACATACATGTACGCAGACATTTGCATGCACATGCACACAGTGCACTCGTGGGGACATGTGCATAACCCAGATCAACATTGCGTGCGAACCCACACATGCGGGCACGAGCACGCGCACACACACGCGCTCACACACACACACACTCATACACCTGGCCAACGCTGAAGCGAGGATAGCGAACAAACTACGTTAGACATAGCAACTTGTGCTCGGATTACACCTTTCAACAGCTTGCACACACACACACACACGCGCGCGCATGCGCACGTACACACGCGCGCGCATGCGCACGTACACACGCGCGCGCGCATGCGCACGTACACACACACACTCGCGCACGAGTACACACACACACACACATGCGCGCGTACACACACACACATACACAAACGCATGTACTTGCGCATAGGAAAGGATTCGAAATAATCAACCACAGGCATTTACCCAATACACACCTGGGTGTGCACATCTTAGTTGTGGCATCCCCATTTTTACAAAAGCAGGATTTAGAAGTTCGTCCCTGGTTCAGAACACAAGCTTCTGGCCAGCGTTTCCCTTACACCATCAGTGCAGTACAGTGGTTGACACGAACCTCATTCCTACAGGGACAGTAGCCCAAGTTCAGCAGCTCTGAGATGCGTTGTCCACTGAGCTCAGGATACTCTAGGATCCACAGAAAGTTTCAAACGGCACTCGTGCGACTGGAGCTGCAAGTGGGTCCACTTACCAGCGAGTGGGCAGCCACTTCACGCTCCACAGGTAGTCCATGCTAAATTCCGGTGCCAGTACTAGTATCACTACGTTCGACATCGATGTCTTCACTGACTTCAGCCTGCTTTTCTCACCCTTCTTCGTCAGTATTATAATTATTAAATTTTGTTCTTCGTGGCCACATCGGACCGCTTCAACAAAGTTTTCACAAAAAAATCAAGCAGCGTAGGAACTGCCTTTGTTTAGCATTAGCCATGGCCAGTGATTATTTCCAGCGTAGAAACAGCCACGGCTACAGAAACACTTCAACGAGTAGAACTACATCCTGGAACAACTGCGAGCACAGAGAAATCAAAAAACTTCTTTCTAAACAACAGCTTGTTTCCGCATGGAACACAACATTTTTCGAATCTCGCGGCAAAAAACAGATTTTCGAGGTGCCCTTTTTACACTGCGCTGCGCAACTGTTCGGAGCCTCCTTAATTCTATGTTTCGCGTCGGATATTTTCTGGAAAAGGCACGCGGAGGGGCGGAAAAAAAAACAAAAATAGGAAGAAAAAACAAAACTCCATTCTATGTGTACTGAGTTATGTTGCACACAGAATACCACTACCAAACTGTCAGTTCTTTCCAAAACGACAAGTCATCACAGGACAGCTGGCAGACTGGGCTGGAGCGATACAGAGATTTCATGGATGGCTCCTCCTGCATTTTGATATGAGTCGAGTGCGATCCCGCTCCATCACAATCGTGGAAAATATCGAAGTCCTTGACACCTGGAATCTCTGCTCGCTTGGTGAGCAGGCCCTAGGCCTACCGTACAGCTTGGAAAAATGGAAATTTTAATCTCTCGCACCTTCTACGTACCATCGCCTGGAATGCAAGATTGTCGAGAAGCTAATAAACTCTGATCTGCCATACTGGCTAGAGAATGTTCGTCAGTACAGCCATTGATTGGCTCGACTAGGTTCTTTTTTTTCTTGTCAAGGATTTGAAAAGGTACGTAGGCGGGTGACGCGAAACATAGAAATAACTTGGTGTGGCCTAAGTGGTCAATAATAAGTGGTCAATATAAGCGGTCAATAGACCACCCTTTTCAGGTGATCTACGATCACCCGAAAAGTGTGGTTTATACAGAATATTGCACTGTGTCCACGAAGATTGTTTTTCGCGGCGCTGCGCGCCTTGGGGATTTGAAAAATAATCCCCTCGGAACCGTGCAATATCCTATACATATATGCTGATAATTAACCGCTTAGAGATCACAAGTTTCTGTGGGGGTCAATAATAAGAGAGTGATAAATCCGAATACAAGGTGACCTTCACTTATATGGCCATGGCATTCTAAATGAATCGGAAATGAGCACAAGAAGAAGTGAGAAAGTGCATGCAAAATGTGACTGGTTCTGCACCAGCCTGTCAAGTTCTGCTGGTGGCATAGACATTTCTCTGTCTCACTTTTAGTGCCAAGGCGTTAAAAGCGAGAATGTTTTCTCAAAAATTTAGGTCGAAAACAGCGATTTCTCTTGCCTTGGTTTCATATGTGGAGAAACACGGTTAACGCCTTTGTATACAAAGGCAATTATCGCCATTGTAAATGCATACAAGTGCGTTGGTCAGAAGCAGGACTATCCTGTTCCAAGCAGGATGGTTAAACAGCCTGGTAAGCTGCTAGGACTGTATGCCGCAAGCCAACGAGCATGATCTTTCTTCACAGGGAAAAGTTTAGCCACTTCAAGTGCAGCAGTGGTGTTTATTTTAAAGGTCTTTCCAGTGCTCGTAGGGGAGCTGATATTAAAAACCCAGCTGCATTGATATGCAAAATTATCATGAGTATAGGGCTGTGCTTTGCGACTAGTTGATGCAGTGCTGATTAGGTATCCACTCACGTGTTGGAACATGACAAACATAGGGATCTTGAAGACCTGTCCTCAAGCGGAAAAGAATGAGACAGCGTGCTGAGAAGAAGGAATTGTCCTTCACCAGTTCTCCTCGTCGTAGAGAACAGATATCCTTTGCTGATAGTACCAAACAGAAAGAAAAAGAGAGAAACAGAGATGACAGACACGCAGAGAGAGAAACAGAGAAGCAGACAGAGGCAGAAACAGAGAACGAGAAAGAGACAGACAGACAGACACACACACACACACACACACACACACACACACACACAAATACACATACACACAAACAGAGAGATAGATAAAGATAAAGAGAGAGAGTAAGTTACATAACAGGGGGGGGGGAGGGGATGAGGAAAAGCATAATAGGTGTAATAAAGAAGTTAAGTTACACGTTATTTTTCTGTTTTTTTAAGCGTAGTGAAAATCTCAACTTACGTGTACCTGTTCAGAGCTGTCAGGTTACACATGCGACGTGACGGGAAAGGTAAAATTCGGGATTTAATAGTTCTCAAAACCCAAAAATCGAATCTTCCAACAAAACCGATCGAAATACGCACACTCACAAAAAAATGAAACACTCGCGCAAATCCGGTCGGGATGATCAAACGCTACTTCCAATAACCCACGTCACGTGGCTACGTGCGGTGCAGTCAACTAACGTAGAACGCATCAAGTGTTTTTGAAATCTTGACGGAAAAGTTAGCAGGCCTCAGGACTTAACATGAAGCGTTAAAACCTCTCTTTGGTCAAGTACTTGTAGAAGAACAAACATTTCACTGTTCTTTTGAGACTCAGTTAGAATGAGTTTCCAGTATCCGTTGGAACGCCACCCCTTGCAAAGAAGGGGAAGAAAAGTGCGGCTTAGCAATTTTGTTATCTCGTCCGAACTGTTCAAGTGCGTGTGTGTGTGTGTGTGTGTGAAGATGCAGATTTCTCCCTACTGTCTTTTGGGTTCAGATTTGTTTCTGGCAGGCTGTTGTCGGGGAGAGATTGAGTATTCGCAATCTTTGCTATCACAAATACCGTCTCCATGAAAAAGTGGTCATTGCCCGGCAAGTAGGGAAAACATACCTTCCCTTAGAAGGGCAACTGGCAAGGGTTCATACGCATTATCGTCGCAGTGATCGTTAGTGCTCATTAGTTCAGCTGCAGGGAGAAAACAACATTGAGAAAAACAAACAATTAAGAGCTATCTTATCCACAGCCTACTCAGTGTGTTCAAAACTCAAAAGACTTATTTACTCAATGAGTTATGTGTCTTCCCTTTGTTTGCTTAGTACCACACATAGATGCTTATTTCCCCACGTTGAGCGTTCTGCTCACTGGTCTTCATGGGGTGTTTCAATAGGCAATTGACTCGATATTTCAGCGATATTCCTTTAGAATCTTTCTCCCATCTCCAGTTTCCGGCAGTGAGAAAATGCAAGTCAAAGCGTGTGTGCGTGTGTGTGTGTGTGTGTGTGTGTGTGTGTGTGTGTGTGTGCTGTGACACAGCGCAGGGGAGATCCGCCTGGTTTCAGTGTTGTCGACAGAGGGTCGAGAAGGAAGCCCCAGACATCCAATGCCCCAACTACCGCTATAACAGAGTGTTTCGTCGTCCTGGTGACCTAAAGCGGCATGCGCCATACTGCAGATTTCGGGTTTAGAGCCTCAGCGTGAGGAAGCCATCGCTATCATTGCTATGGCGATGGACGTTCAAGGTTCAAGGTGTGTGTGTGTGTGTGTGTGTGTGTGTGTGTGTGTGTGTGTGTGTGTGTGTGTGTGTGTGTGTGTGTGTGTGTGTGTGTGTGTGTGCATATGGTGCAGCGGTATGTGCAGTCGATATGTGCAGCCTGAAGGCCAGGCTAAAATTAGTGGCGGTCAATCGAAAAGTCGACTTGTGCGGCTCCTGGGGAGAAAAAGTTAAACGCTCGCGAGTCGCTAGCTTCCGTTTCCTTTGATATACCAGCCTTGCAAGCTGTTCAATGGTGTAATCCCAGCACAAGTTGCTATGTTTAGCATAGCTGTTCGCTATCATCGCTTTCGCGATGGGTAGGTCTGAGGTGTGCATGAATGCGTTTATGTGTGTAGATGTGTGTGTGTGTGTGTGTGTGTGTGTGTGTGTGTGTGTGTGTGTGTGTGTGTGTGTGTGTGTGTGTGTGTGTGCGTGTGTGTGTGTGAGTGCGAGTGTGTGGGAGTGCGCGTGTGTGTGTGAGTGCGCGTGTGTGCGTGTGTATATATGTGTGCGGTGTACGCTGTTCACGCAGCCGGCTGAGTCTGACGTTCCCACCCGATGCACAACGTGCCTCCTGGTCTACCCCTTATGGGGCCACATAGCCAGTCATAGCAGTGGAAGAAGGACGGAAGGGAAGGAAGGATGTATGTTTTTGTGTACGTGTGTGTGTATGTGTATGTTTTTACAAAGCATGCAGGCGAGGATATGTCCAAGCACAGTGTTCTTGCTCTGCACAAGCAAATTCAAAAAGCCTGTACCCAATACGCACCTGGCATGCATAGGAAGAGGCGTGTCTGCTCAGAGTTAGCATTTGGCAACGGTACAGGCATGGAGTCTCTTCCAAACTTGTACTCCATGGGTCCATTGGGGCTTCTGACCCACATAACGGCACCATTCAATGTCTGGAGCAGACATTCCTGATGCAAACTGTACTGCTTTTCAAAGAGTCGTTCATTGACAAGCACCTGGCCTATGGAGTCACACGCCATGGCAGCGCGATCATAAGTAGTGCTGGACCATGTAAACTGGAACCGAGATTTCAGGCACTCGGCAGAATCTGTTTTGGAACAAGAGGCATGTAATACACACACATACACGGGCAAACGAACACACGCTCATCCACATACACATACACACATACACGCACACGCACACGCACACACACACACACACACACACACACACACACACACACACACACACACACACACACACACAAGGCAGAAAACTTTATTGCTAACGTCATAATGGAGGCATGGTTGAATGCTCAATGAACATAATTGACAAACGGAGGGTGCAAAGTTCAAGGCCTGCTTGGCAGTGGAAGGAACAACTGAGCAGCATGGTATGTGGCATGAAGAGTGCTCAGTTGGCTCTCTGGTCAGGTGAAATATGTAGCGTGAAATAATTATGCTCTTTGCATGACATTAGTGGAAACATTAAGCTTACGTATAGGCGCGAATAGAAGCCCCGGGGCTCCATTTTTTTCAGAAGACACCTAGAGGGGGGCTATATTTGAGTGGGGGCTCTATTTTTTCAATAGAAACATCAATTTTTCAAGATGATCGTTTCTGGCGCAGTGTGTTCCCACTTTTGCATGTCTCTACGTTGACCCCAGAGAGCCAGAGCGATCCCGTACCTCCAATATGGATCTAGTGATCCGCAAAGCACACTGTGTTGATCGTGCACACCGTACATGGTTCATGTACTGCACTACAACGTACGGACTGTGGGCGCTCGATTAGAGCCCCGGGCTTTTATTCGAGACAGGGCTGTATTACTTTGAATGCCTTTGAGGCTGTGTTTACATGAGAAACTTCAACCCGGGTCGAGTTCAGCCCGGGTTGAAAGTCTGTACGATGGACAAAAGAGGTGAGCATTTACATGAAGACAGTTGACCCGGGTCAAATACTGATATGCCGCCAAAAGTCCACTTCGAGAACCCTGTATGGTCACGTGAATCCGTTCGCGCGAAATTTGCATGTGCAGTGCTGTTCAAACCTGGCGCGAGATACGCACAGAAGTACGTTTGTACGATTTTCTTGACCTGAGTTGATTTCAACCCGGGGCGAAATTTGAACCCGGGTCAAGCGCAATGCGTCATGTAAACGCGCCATTCATTTTGTGCACGTGGCGGGTTGAAATCTGACCCGGGTCGAACTCAACCCGGGTTGAAACGCCTCATGTAAACACAGCCTGAGGGACGGGCTCTATTCGAGAGGGGCTCTATTCGAAGGGGATGTTGTATTCGCGCGCGTACGGTACGTTAGTTGATGTTAGTGCCCCAGTAATTTAGAAACGCGATCCTGCCAGCGTTTCTATTATTGTTGTAGCATTTTCGTACTCGGCTGCATGTGGAAGTGAAATAGACTCATGTACCAACTGTACATGACAGTGCATGGCCTGAATGCACAGCACAAGTGCATGAACCTCATGTACCTCTGGGCATTTAATATGTTTCACATGTGTGCTAGCGGATATGGGTTCTTCTTCAATCGACTCATCCTCATCGACTCGGTCGTTTCGACCGTAATCAAAAAAGCTTAGGCGGTCGCATCATCCATTCATTCATTCACAGGCATTGTAGCAATGAACGCTACATAACGAAACGCACACGTCTGCGCAGCCAAAACCGAAGAGCTTCCTCCTGGTCGCGCTGCCGATGACTGTATACGGGTTCAGTTCGTCTGCATGCTGTGCGATGCCATAATGAAACATGCACGAAACCTGCTCGCTATGCTACAAGTTTTATAACGGCTAGTCAGTAAAACTTCTAAAACGATTTATTACAGTCAAACCTCTTTAGGACAAACACCAAGGGATCGATGATATTTGTTCGTAATAATGGGAGTTCTTCTTATCCGTATGTTATACCCAATGAATACACAGTGATTTATCCAATGGAGTTACGAATACTAGTTCTTCTTAAGCAAAAATTTGTCTTTAATATCGGTGTTCTTCCTAACGATGTCTCACTGTACTGCAATGGTGAACTTGATCAAGTGTTGCTTTGTTGAGCAGAAGGGAAAGAAGGATGCTACAGTGCTGGCGACTGAAATCCGACCCCCTGAGCGGTGGGTTCACATTCTTTGCGATGTGAGCGCACCGCTCAGGGGGTCGGATTTCAGTTGCCAGCACTGTAGTAATAAAAGAAACACATGAAATCAAGGCCAGTTCCGACAATGCTTCTTACGGAACCGTCTGCAGTTGGGGAGATTATCCCATCGCAGGGGTGATCCACTGAAGTTAGCCGCTTGATTCCACCTCCCTCCAGCACACGGCGGAGTAGAGCACTGTTCAAAGTAGTCGGGTTTGCATTTGAAAGTAGCAGTGCGGGGTTCAAGGTCAACACCAGATCGATCGTAGTTGTCAGGGAAACCAACTTCTGTTCTCGGCAGAAGAAGAACACAAGAGAACAAACAAAACTTCCAGCAGCTCGCTAAAATACCGTATTTTCCCGATTATATGTCGCACTTGGTTATAAGTCGCAAACCATTTTTAGGTCTGAACCAAATTGTATGAATACATTCAGATGAGTGGGAAGTGACACAAGTCACACTCGATTGTAAGCCGCACCCCTTTTTTTGCTTTTGAAGTATAGTGTAAACAGGTGCGAATAAAATCTGCGGGGAAATACGGTAGGTGCAAATCAGGATATTACTTTTTAACCCTTTCACTACCCATTATTTTCGCAATTGAGTCAATTCCCAGTCTACAAAATACTTCGTCGTGCACCAATTATGCACCAAGGAGTGAAATTGATAGTTGCAGTCGATTGTCAAAGTCTTTCTGAAGGCGTAGAGCCCTCATTTGTAATAATCCGACAATATTTGAGCGTGTGACAATATATTTAGTGATCGTCTATTGCATCGATCCACAAGGATCGATATTTGAATGGCTGGTAGTGAGAGGGTTAAAGACATGGGAACTGGGTCAAGTGAAGTCTCGCTCGGTGAGATCCGTCCCAGAGTGTCTATTTGGCGCCCTCAATCTGCGCGGCCCTTGACGGCCCTGGAAGTGGCACGAATGCGGCTGAACGTATACACAGTAGAAACACAGCGATGTGATCGGAACTGGTCCAGCGATTTCACCGAGCGCAATTGTAGTTGTAACGGATGGCTGTAGCCGTTTTACCTCGCCCAAAGTGGGAAGGATCATTGACAACAAAATTCGCGGTCTGCTTGAGACTGGGTTAGAGGTTATTGACAAGCTGGTCATTACAGCAGGAACTCAGGGTGATTTTGCTCATTGTCCTCCTTTTTTCAATTTAATTCCTGAGGTCCAGGCAATCAGATCTAATACAGTGAAACAGCTGTCTAAGACGACCACCGCTCAAGGGACCTTCAAAGTGTGGTCTCTATTACCAGGTGGTCTCCTTATCCAGGGTCATTTGGCTGGAAATAGCATTCCTTGGTCCTGGTTGCATGTGGTCTTCTGGGACAGGTGGTCGCCTTAGCCGAGTGGTCGCCTTGACAGGTTTTACTCTACTCATTTATCTACAGTAAAACCTGTAGAGGCGACACTGACTCGGATAAGGCGACCACCTGCCCCAAAAGGCCGGTGTGACCAGTCCCAAGAGATGCCATTTCCAGTCCGATGACCCTGGATAAGGAGGCCACCTGTTAACGGAGGCCACATTTACAAGGTCCCTTGAGCGGTCGTCTTACACAGGTTAGACAGGTTTCATTGCATTTTATTTTCAACTTCTTCACAACCACTGGCACCAGCCAAGAAGGAGGTGATGCGGGCGATAGCCAGCGTATCAACTTTGACCGCTAGACGCCAGCCTGGTGGGTGCCAATCTTCGGCCTTTGTCCGAGTGCTAATGGATGATAATGACTTGTGGCATCCTATCACCGGTGCCCTGTCCATTTCACATTGCCACGGTCACACTGCATGTAAGGGAATCTTCTGGACAATGTCCTGAGTGAGCTCAAGTCTATCCCCTGCAGTGTGGAGATAACGCCCAGGTTAGGAAAATAGAGACCCTATTCTTTCAAGAATTAGTCCGTATGGCTCACCCAATCTATCCACCACAATAGGTGAAGTACTTCAGCTTACCCTTTTGATAACACATAGGGAGATTCATCCATAAATTATTGACGCATTGGGGCAGGTAGATTTTACCAGCTACTCTGGAGCATTCATGGCCTGGTATTAAGACATTATTGGGACCTGCTGTGCGACACTGCCACACGTGACCCCCTGGGCAAGTTACATGACCCACCATTGTCCACGGATAATGGTGCCCTCTGCAAACTAGAGATGTTAGGACAAAACACACATGCAGAGAACAGCCGGTTTTAATACCATGAGGAAGAGAGAGAGAGAGT